AGCCCTCTCTCTCTCGTCTCTCTCAAGCTTCATGTCGTCTGTCGACTATGGACTCCTCCCACGCACGCCCCAGCTCTGTATTTGCCTTTTAGAATGAAATGACAATAATGTCCTTCTACGTACTACCTTAAACCTTAAATTTCCCTTTATTTACAACAATGCCACCGTTTTTTTTAGTGACCAGTGAAGTAATGGATGCATCTGGACTGTCCGTTAACCACATCTAACGGTACACATTTATTCTTATTTCTTTCCTAGAGCACCATTCTCATATGATCCTAACTCTATATATATATATATAGAAAATGGATCATATGAGAATACAAGTTAATGAAAGAAGTGAGAATGAATAAGGGCCATTTGATCTAATAAATTAACGGTCAGATCGCAGTCAATCCGCAGTCAATCCCGCGGTGGCATTTTTGAAATTTAGTGACTCTTAATGGACAATTGTGAACGCATGAGGGCATAAATGTACATTACATCTAAAAATTGAGGGGCTTGGATCTAGGTCAGATTTAGTTCGAGAACGGCGAGAGGAGAAAGGGGTGACTGAGAGCGACAAGACTGAGCGAAGATGAAAGCTAGATTAGGGTAACAATCAATTGAGGAATGGCTGCATATCGAGATCATAGATAGAGTCCCGAGTTGTTGGTTTCAGTCCGCGAAAGCAGCCCGAGATCTCCCAGGTAGAGGATCAGCGGGCTAGATCCCTCATCAACAACCGTTAAAAGAGGATCAGCAGGCGAATATTGTACAGTGAGAAGATTATGAACATGAACTCGTCAGCCTTTGCAGTTTGACTTCATCACTTGAGCAAAGGAAGGGAAGAAGGATTTTTTTGAAGAGAAGCTCCATTCATTGATGCATGTATGTTATGTTTGTTGTTTCTGTTCATGTTCTTTTCTATAGTTTTATTCTGTGATCACTGGGGTTCTGGAAAAATCCGAAAAAAAAAATGGAAATATATGTCCATTTGATTGAGGACTATCTCCGACAATCCATATACTGATCTGGGATTACTGGTGTTTATGCTTTGATTGTTTTCCTCAAGTTTGAGAATTATCAACTTGCAAATAAAGGTGCAATATTATCCATTGGGAAGAGTATAAATTTCTAGTGTTTCCAGGTCCAGGTGAACTCTAACCAAACTTACGAAAAAAGTAATGTGTTTATATGTTAATACAAGCTGAAACAACAATTTGATTTGCTTCCTATGGAACATGTAGTTGTTTTACTTATCATTTGTTTTGCCATTTGATGTGGTGTGGTGACCATAGAAAATAGTTTCATATCCCTTTTTGTAATAAATGGTTGCTTTTACAAAGGCCAAATCATGTTTTTGATAGTAGCCTGACACTATGAATATATGATGGTGATTTTTTTTTTTTTTAACATTATGTGATAGATTGCTTTTATAATCTTTCCAACTTACATTTCCCAAGATATTGATCTGTGGTCCTT